TCTCCTCCCGGTGAACAGTCAGTTCAATGTCTGCCCTATTAGCATGAGCTAACACAGTAGCAACTCTAACCAACTGTCCTCAGCATAGAGCTCATACTCACAGCAGTAAAACAACAATGCAATGGAAATGATGTATGGGTTTGTTTGTATATGGACGGGGGAAGTGGGATCCAATCACAAGTGGTCAGTCAAGATGCATGTGGAGACTCATTCCAATGTGAACAGACTTAGAGCTGTTCACGTGATCGGATCACCCAAGATGCATGCTAATACCAGGTGCAAACATGGCCTCAGTTACACAGCAGCTCCTTTCTAAGAAATAATAGGAAAATATGAAACCGTCAAAATAAAGTTATATTTTGTTACGTCATGTCAATAATGCAGCCATAAAAATTGCATCTTATGTGTTTATGTTTGACATGGTATGAATGTGATGACTGACTTTCTCTAAAATGGCAGAAACCTATGACCCTATTAGTCATTTTGGCAGATCAGACAGCTATACAAGTGTAATTGCATCTAAGAAGCACCAAAGAAATATTGAATTCCAAAGGCTCAAACCACCTCTACGTCTAAAAGTGAATTTATGTGTAATAATACAAGTTCCTGTCCATTAATTCTGTGGCGATAACAGGGAAGGTGATGTGAATATTTTGTATTAACAAGTGAGAAATTTTTAAAAATTGTGACAAGTGAAAGTGATTGTCTCAATGTTGAATGTTATTAGACACTTGAAGAGACTATTGTACACCTTTCTTATGGAAGGTAACATTCCCAGGTGACCTAGTCTCAGGTATGGATTGTGTATTATGATATTAATCTCTGTCTGAAGGCCATCAGCACTTTAACATGGACATATAATCAGATTAGATCACAGTGTGTTCATTAGTAACTAAAGGAACAGTGACCTGTCTCTGCAAATGCCAATCTAAAATGAGAGAACATTTCCTGTGATCAACTGAAGTGCTGCTTCCTTTCGTCCTGCCACCTTCAGATCTCAGGTGCTTGATAGATTTCATTATCACTTAGGTGCTGAATTACCATCAAAAAATAGAATCAACAAGTCACTTCAATGTGGTACTGTGTTAAAAAAAAAAAACTACCAAGAAGTGAGATTATGTGATTTGTTTCACCTAATGTTTCACCAACTCTCATTGCCTCTCTACTGCTCATCCTCCCCATCACACAGTCTTTTCTGCCCCCTGCTGTTTTCCAAACCACTCCTCCTCAAACAGGTTAAGAAATAATACACTGTGTTGAGTTCACTTGTAAGATAATGCGCTGTTGTATATGCATTCATCTGTCACTTTGTTTTCCTGTAGTTGGCCATATTATAAAGCAATGCATTGCTTGTTATTGTGTACTGAAGATCGTATTGTAGACATTATTGAAGCTTATATAAGTCATTTGACTGTTTTGCAGATTAAAGTATGCAGAGATTTGACAGCATGAATGTCAGTGGTGTTTTAGGCTGGAGCCAATACTGTGGGCAGAGTGTAGTCAGTGCCTACCTCTGGGCAGTAATTATAATATATATTAGGTGGACACAACTCCCCCAGTATTCAAATATGCTCAAAATGCCCCCCACAATATCTTAATGAATTTATAAATAACAAAACTTGCTATGATACAACAGCCAACCATGCACAGCCATATGAAATCAACATTAGCAAATGTATTTATAATCATAAATGATCTTTACATATTGACATCTTACTATATAATGACGAAAACTCTGTCTGTGTGTGTGTCTGTGTGTCTTTTCCACGTTTTTCTCCTCACTGACTTGGTCAATCTATGTGAAATTTGGCACAGTGGTAGAGGGTCATGTGAGGATAAGAATGAAGCAATATTACATCAGTTGGCCAAAGGGGGGCGCTATAGCAACCGATTGAAATTGCAAACTTTGAATGGGCATATCTCATGCCCTGTATGTCACAGAGACATGAAACTCTGTACAGAAATACCTCTCCTCATGCCATTTTTAATTTTTTGAAAAACACTTTAAATCGATCTCTTCCTAGGAAGTTTGACCGATCTGCATGAAACTCAGTGAACATAATCTAGGGACCAATATCTAAAGTTCCCTCTTGGCAAAAGTTGGAAAACTTACTAAAACTGAGCTTCTATAAGGCAATGAATATTGCGGAGGGCATGGCTCATCACATAAAGGTGTATAACATCTCAAGGGTTTCACCGATCACCACGCAACTTTGTAGGCATATGACCACACATAATCTGAGGGGACCCCTCCATTATTGACCCCATCAAACAAAATGGGGGCGTTAGAGAGCTAATTTCTTATCTAAGTCTAACCGCCATATCGATTTTTACTAAACTTGGTAGATATGTAGAACAGGACGCCTCAAGGTGACTGGAGAAATTTAACTCTAATTGGCAACTGGGTGGCGCTATAACAACAGAAAAATGCTTAAAAATGGCTAAAATGCGACCGATCGCTGTGGCTCCCCCTGTGGCCGAATGTTTGGGTTGTTTTTCTAATTTTTGGTATGACTAAGTCATGGTATGGTATGCTGTACATAATCACAGAAACTGTCAGTGTGTCATTCTGTCAGTCAGTCATTCTGTCTGTCCCACGTTTTTCTACTCACTGACATAGTCATTCTATGTGAAACTGCACATAGGCATTGAGAATTGGCATAGGTAGAAGGTGACAAAGCTACCAATGGGTATGGACTAGTTATTATTATTGCCAGTTCTAATATTATTGTGTTCTGCAGTTCTGTGTGATGTTTGTGCATCTGGTGCTCCAGCAGAAAATGTTTGACCGCTGTGGACGTGATACTATCAATGTCAAACACTGCACTGTCGCCATTCCATTTCTTTCAAAAGAGTTAAAAAGTGGTTAAAAAGAGCCAAACTAGGATGCAATGAGTGCTGAGTTGGCTGTGTCACTGTTGACTGTTTTTGTGAAGTGTTATCATGTCATAAAAAGGCCATAAAAAGTCATAGGATAGTATATAATTAACAATTTCAGTAGAAAAAGTACTACTGTGTGCACTTTTCCTTCAATTCTTTGCTGACATTTGGTCAATAAAACTTTGAGTTCCTCCGATCTCTAAAATGGTCATGTTAGCTCTTGAGTTTCTAAAAATTTGTTTTGGGGGGAATTCCCCAAAGACCATGGGTCACAGAAAGATGGATGGAAAATGGTGCCCCTCAATGTTAAACAGGTGATGACAGCCCTGGCCTGCCCATGTCTCAACTGAAAAGCCCTTGATGATGCTACTTAAAGTTAAGGGAATTTAATTTTATTAGAACTTTTGATGACTTGTCTCCTCATATTGGTATCTAAAAACACACCGTGGTACTGTGACAGACAGCAATGGGTGCTTATATAAATGTGTTTAACTGTGTGAGAGTGCATCTATGTGTTCCTAGCTAAATAAATAATAAATAATAATAAAACCATCTAACATCTATAAACCATTTTAAGAAACTGGACATTTGATGGGAAACCCTTTATATAATTGCAGGGCAGCTAAAAACTTCTCACTGATATTGTGCTCGGGGATTTTCTCCAGCTGAGACTGTGGTTGGTGGTGTGACCTAACGCTGACACTAGAAATGAGAGCCAATGAGAGCATGTTAATGTTTGTCATGGGTTGACAGGAGCAGTTTCTAGGAAAATTAGGCCTATTTTTGACCAGGATGTCTTCAGTAGTTAACTCAATTGCATTTTCTCTGAAGACTAAGACCCCTGTCTGTTTGTGAATGCTGAATTTAACTGTGTCTAATTATGCTTCAAATTCACGACTTTACCCATCGTGGTGTTGAAAGCATGTCGCACTTTTACCAAAACACGCAGGGCGGCGCTCGTGGACAAGTGCTAGGTCTCGTGCTGCCTTCAGGGTTATCTGTGACTTCCCCAAATTTGCCAAATTGGGTCCGGTTAAGTTAAGTTAAGTTAATTGGACTAAAGATTTCTAATAATTATAATGTATCTGATGACAGTGCATACACGCTCCCTGGCCCCTGAATGCCACACCTTGCAAACTGGGTAATGCAGAAAATTTGAATATTATTGTTATTAGTATTTTCTTTACCTTTTTGTTGTTCTTTATTTCGGGCTCACCTGTGAAAGGCAGTTTGTCCGACGCCACCTGAAGGCATCAGCTGAGCTCATCTGTCCGCCGATGATAAGACTGAGATGCGTAAACAAAAACACACCCTCTTTTTTAGGAGAAAATAGACACAATTTTCATTTGTCGAATACCTTTAAAAATGTCGCCAATTATATAGGACTGAACATTTTAGTTTTGAAGATGATACACGAACCAAAGTGACCAAAGTGCGGAGCGCACAAAGATTTCTTTTATTATCTCAGGTGTTGAGAGTGTTATACAAAAGTCAGGTTTACGTTTAGAGCATTCACAGTTATTTACTTGTGTTTGGCTTCATATTTTAGACATTACATGCCTTAGAGTAGCCTCTGAGCACGGACCTTATCTTGGTCAGGAAGTGATGACAGGTTACATGACAGCTCTTTACAGATTATGTCACTCGTTATTTGACGCCCAAAGTGATCGTTATTTTAAATAATCGACGTTGGGGGCGTTTATTTGTTCATGAAACATAATTAAATTATAAGATAATAATCAGTTAACTCCTTGACTTGATGAATTATCTTCTCTGTCGCCTCGAGAGTGTTTTCAGAGCAACAGGTGCTTCTAGATGAAGTGCTGCATTCAGGGAACATGTAGGAATCGGGTACCGATGATATTCGTAAGCAAAACCCGTTTTTTTCTCAGTTTTACGTTGTATAATAGTGCGAGGAGACAGCTAACATTTGGTAATGAGAAAATACTAAGTCTACGGGGATGCACTTCATATAGACGTTTCGAGTTTTAAAACACCTGTAGGCTGCTGTGACTGTCAATAAGTCGTATCTACAAGCTTTACCGAGAGTGTGAACGCCTCACAAACCCCGCCCCTTGTCGCTGTCCTCTTGTGAATAGTTCAGAGTTTAGTGTCCCTGGGTGTCAACAGCGAAGTTTCACTCTCAGCCCACTAGTAGTCAGGTCGACGGTCCTCCGAGGAGGTGTTACTGTTCCCCTCCCCGTGTTCAGTTTTCGGTTCAGGTGGACGCTCTGCATCTCCACTGTCAGTATGTCTCCTTCCACGTCCCCCCGGTTCTTCACGGAGAGGGAGGTGGCCCGCCACTGCACCAAGGAGTCCTGCTGGGTGCTGCTGGGGACCAGGGTGTACGACGTGACCTCTTTCTTGCGGATGCACCCGGGAGGAGAGGCGCTGATACTTAGGCGGTCGGGCAAGGACGTGAGCCAGGAGATGGAGGGACCCCCACACCGGCACTCGGAGAACGCCCGGCGGTGGATGGAGCAGTACTACATCGGGGAGCTGGACAGAGACAGCCGCACCGACGAGGCTCAGGTAGAGTCGGTGGGCCACAGACCCACACCTGTCCTGCTAGTCACTGAGCATACAAGCAAATGCAGAGAGGGAAACCTTTAGGTCTCTACTAGGTACCAGGTTATATGTCCTTACTGATTGTTATAAACTGACAGGGTATTATATTTGTTAAATAAGATAACACACAGTATCGCACACTATATTGGTGGAAAGTTTATCATTTTTAGAATCTACTTAAATAGCCTCCCCTCAGGCTCCTGCGGTGTAGAAACAATGGCCCGGAGGCAAGACTGTTGTCCCTATGGGATAACTGAGGTTTTCCATGTTGTCAGTCAGTCACACACAATGGGACAATTTCAGACCCATCTTTAAGATAGTTATAATCATTTTGCAAGCAGTGGCATGGGCCTACATGTGTTTAAATGTCTCTACTAAGGGACTGTTACTTATTTATGATGGGGTGGGGGTGCGTAAAGGGGGAGGCATAAGGCCCCCAGGATGTGCACCGGGCTTTGAAGTCAGTTTTCACAGTGGCCATACAGTGGTACTGCAATTTCTGGGGTTCCTCATGCGATAGCCTTCAGCCCAAAAATACTTACATTTGGAAAAGAGATGTCTGTAAATCAGTGAATACATTTTTTGAGCTTCACATCACCAGCGAAATGACTTGTTGAACTACCAGGATTTAATCCATTCATTTCAACATTTTATATGTCTAGAAGAGCCACAAGATAAATAATTTTATCCCCATTCAAGTTAGCGCAGCGCTAAACCAAAAGTTATTCCGTTCCGTGGGCAGAAGTTAGCCGATCAACTGTGCTCGGCCATGCTTGCCTGCTGTAAGTCTCTAACGGGCATGATCCATGGGCTGCACAGTGTGGAAGTAGTGCCTATAATCCTCAGGGCCCAGTATTTCAAAACTTGTAATCGGGATCAGAATAATCCGGATAATGAAATCCTCCTTTTCTCAGTTAGGGATCAAGGTGATCCTGCTGACTTTATCTGGGTATTTCAAAGCATTGGCAGAGTGGATCACTTTGATCCTTATCTGACTGGATATGGATTTCCAAATCTCACGACTCCGCCCCCGGATCTGAAACATTTCCCCTTTGGGGGCGTGGCTTTCAGATTATGACGTGTTGCGCTCTGTCTCTGTGGCAGAGTACTTCACGAAAGGAGCAGTTGGTAGCACAGCTTTCACATCAAAATGTAAATTTACTATTACCTAATGTGTTTTTAAGACCATACGAAGGCCACCCACCATCTGATGTGAGCCAGCTATTTGAATTGTCACCTACTTAAAACATGGGCGTACCGATCTCTAATTCAGCTGAGGTCATGCTAATGGTAGCTAACGCAGCTCCCTTGACTTGCATGTTAAGTAGCTAGCAGGCTAGCGAGGTAGCTGACTTTGTTGGTGTATTTTGCGGTCTATGGCTTAATTTAAAAGGGAATTAACCTGAAGTATGTCATACATGAACTCTTTAAACCAACCTGTTCAGAGTTTAACGTTATGTTATTGCCAGCACAGCAGACTTTTTTTTTTTTAATGTTTACATGTGTGCAGAGCAGACTGCTGCAGTATAGGAAAAATACACAGTACTAGTATGAATTATGCGGTTCATTCAGAAGTGTCAGAGGACTGAGTTGTTGTCCATGTGCTTATTATGTTAATCCCTGTGTTGTTTCTTGCACTCTGTAAAGAAAAGAATGTGCTGTACAAGTAAATTTGCTTTGCATTGCATTTCCTTGCCTTTGTCTGACCACAAACATATGTTGGATGTTTTGGTACAAACAAGTTACAATGTTGATTAACAAGATGTAACAAGACAAGTAATATCTAGGAGAAGTGGAGCTGAGGCTTTGTCATATCCACCTCTGAGGTGGGATCCAAATAATCCAATAATCCAATGATCCAATAATAATTGATCCAAATCTCTGCCTTAACTTTTCAAATACCCAAATGCAGCCTTTATCTGGATTAAAGGGAAGATTGGATTACCAGAACTGAATCCTGATCCTCAGGAAAATATCCTCAGGATTGCTGGATTTTCAAATTTGCGGCGGTCTTTGGACACATCTTGTACGACAAACACTTCTGTCAGGGGAAAAAAAAAAAAACAGAAACAAATCTGAGCTTAAAAATCATGATATTTTATCAAAATAACTTCATTCTATGTCTCATTATATAAACCATTTGCACTGACTAACCAGCATGCATGAAAATTTAATAACTAATTAAGGGTGAAGGGAGGGTCGTGCATTTCCCTTAAGTCCCCCCCCCCGAACAAACAACAAAAGAAAGAAAATCGATGTCACACCCCAGCCAACCCCCTCCTCTGATAAGTAACGAACAGTACATAACATCTTTTACAACAATTAAACCACTATTAGCTGTGCCCAGGGACCTACATTGCCAATATCTTGACATGACATGTTGTTTAATAGCTGCGTATGATGTCACACACTAAAGCTCAATGGTTTTGAGGCAGTGGAAAGCTGAGCGCGGCTTGTTGGCTCTGTGAGTAACAGGTGTATATTGTCTCTCACTTGACTTTACAGGGCGTTTCTGTGAGGCAGAGAGAGAAGGATCTCCCTCCTCTTGGAGTATTGATAGTAGGGGAGGGAATGAGGAGTTGGCGGAAAAAGACACACACGGAGGGATGTGGCTCATTGCTTGTATAATTTCTGTGTGGAGGAGGGAAGGAGCAGAGCAGGGAGGGGCAGGCAGGTGATATGGCAGACCTGTGGGGTGGTTAGGGTTGGGGGTGTGTGTGTGTGTGTGTGTGTGTGTGTTGGGGGGGTGTTAATGAATGATTCAAGAGGTGTGTGTGTGTGTGTGTGAGAGAGAGAGAGAGAGAGAGAGAGAAACTGGTTTGTCTTGTCTCAGTATGGATAGAGGGGACTACTAACAGGGTGAATTTGAGGGAAACCGGAAACTTCCCATCATTTGTTGTCAGAAGAATCCACACCCAATTTAGCTCTCTCTATCCCTGCTCATTTTCTCTGTGTGTGAGTAGGGAGAAACCGAGAGAATTTGCATAAATCTCTTGCAGACAGAGTTGACATTTACATGGCTTGCCCACTCTCGTGTGTTTGTGCATGTTGTTGCCTGTTTACAGAGCTGCAGGTACAAATTAAGCCGTTTCTTCCTAATCTCCTGTGGAGCTTCATTCTCCCGTCACTGATAAGTCTTAACTATAAAAAAGATGGACTTTTGGACTCGTGTTTTTCTCTGTCAGCTATATATATGCACATGTGTGTCTCTTTGGGCTGGATGGAGGACGTGCATGGTGGTCATTCTGTTAGTTTTGTAAATGTAGTTTGATGCTTACAACAGCTCACTCACACTTTCACACATACTCACACAGGCTGTTCACAGTTTTAGACGTTAGTGGTTTTTCTTTCCTTTTTGTTGTCATCACACCATCACACCATCCACCCCAAAAGTTAACTGTAAATCACACAATTTCCTCTTTTCTATTTCATCTGCACCTTGTTTGGGCATGATTTAGCACTGAGGTCCGTGTTTTGCACAAGTCCATCTCAGGATGTAGAGAGCCTCGAGGTAAAATTACGTTGAGAAATTGCCAGTAGGATCCGAACATCACTCTAAAAGCTGGTTAAATGTAACAATAGGAGTCATGGGACAGATTTCTGCCCACGGGCTGAGTCACAAGGACATTCCAGTTGTTAATGAAATATTGCCCCTATCTAATTTGTCCTTCAGGTATGTCTGGAGAATGAGTAGTTCTCACTCTTCTCTTTCTTAAGTCACTTGGCACTGTGATTTAACTACAAATGGTAAACCTACCCCTCATTTTGTTCTTTAATGATTGGCTTGATGGCTAAACGGTCAATGGCATTTCCACCAAGCAGCATAAATACCAATGCAGAAACAGGATGTTTCCACTTTTGGTCACAAAGTATAACTTTGAAAGGGGTTTTCTTGGATTGCATCCAGCAGCAAGGTCAGTTACAGAGGCAATATGTCAGATGTTGTAATGATAATGCAACTTTTCCTTTTGTGGTTCAAGTTTGTTGTGATATAATTTATTTAGTCTATAAAATGTCAAAAATTAGTAAAATAGCTGATTTCAATTTTGGCCCAAGTTGATGTCTTCAAATGTCACATTTTGTCTGATCAGCAGCCCAAAACTTAATGATTATTGATTACTATGTTTGACAAAGAAAACCAGCTAATCTTGTCATTTGAGTAGGTGGGATGGTGGACCAGGGAATGTCTGGTATTTTAGCTTGAAAAATCATTTAAAGGCGCTGTATATAAGAATGTGGCCAAAGCGGTTACTGCACTCAAATTCAAAATACTGCCGCGAGTCGTGTCCTCCCCCCTCTCCCCTACAGATTCAAGGTTGCTGGACAGCGGCATGCTGGAGACTGATTTGTTTGCCCACGGGCGGCTGCCGTGGCAGGGCCACATCGCCGCGTCCTTGAGCTTTGGTTTTCCAGTGGACCATTCGAGCAAGTCCGGCTTCTCTGCTGCTAACGCTGCTGCCGGGATACAGCTGAGGAGAAGCCGGCTGCTAATGCTAACGCTGCTTGCCGTGCTGCTGTAGCTCAGTCGTAACTGTAACTGATGCTGAGACTCTACTGACTGCGTGACTGGTAGACGGCGGTGGGTGGCGCAACAGGCCAAAACACAAATTCAAAACATAAACATGATTTGCGGACTGAAATTTTTTTTTAAACGCGAATATTCTGGCCGTACTATTGTTGTCGGTAAGATCAGTATGTTATATGAACATTATTCCTTAGTCTCTGTGACATATTAGGAGGATTTCACGACTATTTGCTTTAGATTTCTTACATATAGCTCCTTTAAGCCATTCATTGATCATTAACATAGTTGATCAGTGATGATGATAGGTTTTCAATGTAGCGTGTACCTGGGCCCAACTCAAATGACGACCTGTCACATTATCACAATGTAGCTTTATTAGGGGAAATAAACACGGCTGGTTGCCTTGACAGTAAAGCCTCATTGGATCATCATTGATGTA